CGGGGGTGAGGTGACCCGAACGACCCAGTTGCCAGAAGTCTTGAGAATAGCAACCCTCAATGAACACCCAGAAAGTCATTAAGCCCTAGAACTTTGAGCTCCAAATGAAACGGATTGCCGCTGGCCGCAAGAGCCAAAAAAATGTTTGAAAAGAGACAAAGAGCCAAAGGGAATGGTCCCATCCACTCCACCGCCCCACGCTTTTTGCCGGCCTTCCTGGAAGAGACGCTGACAGGTCCCCTCACAAACGATGCCGCAATACACCTCCACTGAAAGGCCCTCTGGAAAACAAGAGAACATATGTCCGGTGCCAGATTCAACCTCTGAAACCGCCATTTCAGCCAATGGAAGGCTTGGTGCTTGGGGCCGACCGATAGACCGGCAGACCGGTAGGCAGCCGTCGGAAAGCCAATGCCGCCGAGCCGCGGGCGTGCGGTGCACGTCCCGCGCCAGCAGCGCCAGGTTCCGCGCAAGCGAGGAGCAGACGATCACCGAGGCGTCCTATTGGGTGGGGCCCGAAGCGCCCAGAAATAAAATCTGATCGCCCTTGGCCATGGCTCAAAATGGGAACCATGGGAAAACCAAAAGGCCAAAGGTTGACGCTTTGGGCAACTGAGCCAATACCAACTCCAAGGGGAGCTATGGGAAGGTCCTTGGCCCCTAGCAGGCACTAGTACTAATAGGCCCTATTAGGCCTATTGACCCGGCCATGTCCCTTGCCACGGCTCAAAATCAGCACATGGCATGGGACCAGTCCCCCCGCGTATGTCCTGTCAGATCCCATGCAGATAACTTCATGAAAACCATTCTCTCTCTCTCTCTCTCACTCGTGCCATCGGAATCCGTCCCACTGGCGTGGGGGCACATAGGGGCCTGTTTTGGTAATGCACAGAAATGTCCAGAGTTTCTCAGGAGGTGCAGAATTCCGTTCACAGTAGGGGGGGATGCCCAATGACCCGGCTGACCACCATTCAATTCAGTGGGTTGCTCCCCACAAACCGCAACCAGCTCCACTTCGGGCCGTCTTGGCTCTCGTTTCGCTGCTTGGAACTCATAGCACCAGCCCCCAAAGCCAAGCTCAGCTTCCGGTTCAAGAGCCCAGCGGTTTGGATTCGAGTGGATTTGCCCTGGCTCTTGCTGATGAGAAGTGGGAAGCCCCCAGCCTCCAAACCAACGACTCGGCTTCAGCCCACCAATTGGAGAGAGAGAGAGGTACGCTCCTTGCAGAACCCTCTCTGGGGCGGGGGGTTAGGCCCTGGGGTTTTCACAACCGCCAGAGCTTGGTTGACGTTGGAAGAAGGACAAAAATGGGGAAAAAACAAGTTAAGTCACCCTTCCCCCCCCCCCCCAAACAAGAAAAAATAAAAAATAAAAAAATAAAAAAGGGGCACCACTGGGCAACAGAGCCCAACAGCAACCATGAAAATGGCCCACTTCCGTTTGAAGCCGGTCCTTGGCGACGCTCAGCACCTGACCCCGGCAGGGCAGCACCAACTCCCCGATGCAGTCCGCCACCACGCCCACAAAGCGGATGCGGGGGTTGGGGTCGTCGGCGCCGTGCGAGGGCCTCCCCACAAACCTCAGGCGCTAGGCCCCGCTTCGCGCGCGCGCGAGGCGAAGCCTTTCTTGCAAACTTTTGCCGCCCAGTCAGGCCGAAAAAAAAGGCCTTATTCTGGAACTCAGGATTGGGCGGGGGGAGCTTTGGGGGGGGAAGGGGGGGTGGCATAGCATCCTGTGATTTTGGGTTTCAGGGGTTCAAATTTCCACCAATCCAAAGCACCAATTCAGGGTTACTCATTCTGAGAGGCGCTCCTGAAGCCTCTGATATCCCTTCTGCCGGGGGTGGGGGGGGGGGGGTGGGAGGAGTTTTGGGGGGAGGGGGGGTTGGGTCTCGCCGGGATGCTGGACATCTTTGGGTTTCTTATGCCGATCCGATTGTCCCATCACCCTGTTGAAAAATCATGGGGTGCTTCTTTCTGGCAGTCCTTTTGAGAAACCTCCACTGCAACAGAGGCCCCTTGGATGCTTAAACTTGGCGGACCAGCTTCTGTCCAATGACAGAGAAACCCAAAAAAGCAACCGTCTTTGTGAAAAACACAAGCGGATGCGATGTGATGGCATTGACCGCGGAATCAAATTTCAAAGTCCCCCCACCCCCACTTTGACCCCGGTCTGATTGAAACTGGGCTGCCCTCAGATCCCCTGCTAAAAGCTTAACTTTTAGTGGGCCAAATGGAAACTACTGAACCAGCCAAAAAGCTAAGGAACCGGATGGGGAGCCAAGCAAAAACAGCCCCCCCGGGGCGCCCCCAAAAGTCCAAGAAGGAGTCACAAAAAACCCGCCATGCTTCGCTCAGGCGCCGGTAGAAGTCGGTTTGGGTGAACCTGAGCGGCTGCATGCCGCTCAAAAACCGCGTCGTGTGGCGAAACGACGAGCCCCCTGGCAACTGAAAGGCCAAACCCCACCCCAAACAGGAGGCTTCCTCTACAAACTGGGTTTTCTGCAGGAAGGATCAAGCAAAATTCAGTTGCCCGGACGACATATGCAAAGGGGATCACCTTTTGCCACTAAAAACCGTTGAGCAATAATTCATCGCATGCAGTGAGCCCTTGTGGGATTGGACTTGGTTTTCACAAGATTTTCTGTCCCCCCCCCCCCCAGACCCCCAGTGGATTCCCATGCAAAAGACCTCGGCGCTCCTTTTGTTTTGAGTTAACAGGGGGAGCCAATAACCTGCAGGGATGTGTCTCAAAAACAACAAGAACGGCACCCGAAACTTCCATGGGCTTCCCTTCGCAAAGCAACCAGATTAATTAAAGGGGGGAACCAGTACTTACACGGATGCGTCTTACAAAAACAAAAACTTCACCCGAATTTCCCCTTTGCAAAGCAACCGCCCCCACAGGGCTCCCAATATTTTCCCTTAAGACATCACCACCACCAAGACACTCGGCTTTCATCGCCCAAAAAGGTGATGTTTAAAACGGACAAGGGAAATATGGCCATGGGTCAACATCCAAATCGTACCCCCACTGAACCTCCCAATCCCCACTAAAATCCCGACTATCATGGGTGGTGCATGGTTTTGACAACCACGGCCATACTTGTTTGAAAGTCCCAAAAAGGTAAAAGCAGGGCCAAAAGTCCAGAAACTCACAGTCCCCAAAAAAGAGGTGAGAAAGGGCACTACTGGCATCTGGGGGACCTAGATAAGGACACCCCCCATCCGCTCTCGATCGACCCGATCGAGGCCCCGGCGGCAGCTCGTGCACGGAAGCCCCCGCTGGGGCCATGTGCTTGGCGTCCGTCTGGAGGAAAAGATCCACCTGGCCAGGTGGCAAGCCACCTCCAAATGGGTTTCTCCAAGAAATCACCCGAAGCGGGAAAGCGGGCGTCCAAATGTGTGGTTTTGTCTTTGTTTCCGAACGAATCAGCCCACGGTTTTTGGAGGGTGCCGTGAAGATCGATTTGCATTCCCAAACAAGGCGAACCCGCAAGTGTTTGGGGACAGGGTTCCAAACCACCAACGGGGGAGGGAGCTGAGTCAGAATCAAAACATGACATTAAGTGCTACATGGGCAGCCACCCCTAAACCACTAATCCACCGGGCTCCACCAGTTCGGGGGTACCTGATCACCAGATCCAACCAAAACCAAAAACGTCTCCGAGCCAAGGACCGGATCGTCCGGTGGTTTCTTATTGCCGCCGCCCGAAACCGAGTTCTCGGAGAACCCACCCCAGTTTGGACCCAATGAATCGTGATCACCTTTGGGGGCCACCAAAATTGAGCAAAAGGGGAGGGTAGGGATATGGCTGTATCTTTCCTTGGAGCTGGGTAAGGAAACCACCCACTTGTGGGCTGTGTCCGCTTTTCCCGAAAAAGAAACATGTTTGGTTTTCAAGGGAAACCACCAGGAAGGGGGGGTCCGGCTCCCCTAAGTTTGCAAAAAAATGCCAGGAGAAAAGAAGAAAGAAGAAACAAAACATAGCTTCACCCGGGAAAAAGATACGGGGAACGGGGCGCTCCCCACATCCCTCCCCCACCCATTTCCCCCCCCCCCCCCACATCCCTCCCCGCCTGGTGCCCTTTGGCCAGCAGCTTCTGCGCCAGGGCGCAGAAGGGCTCGCAGTCCCCGCGGCTGCCCACCGTGATCAGCAGCGCGCGCATCGCGCCGAACGGCGCGTCGAACGACCGAGGTCGGTCGAAGGCCCCTCGAAATGTCCGAAGGTCCGAAGAGGGTCAAAAAAAAATCCCGGGAGACAGAAAAGGGGCCCTACCCAAAACAATGTGTTCAATTCTTGGGTTTTTGAGAGATGTGGCGATTGTTTTATACTTGGGATCCAACATGGTTGGACCTCAGGTGGTACTGTTTGCGCCGACAAGCTGCGACAAGCTGCAACGCTTACAGATAGCGTACCTTCCATTTGGGTTGCCTTCCTTTTGCCCCAAAAGAACGCCAGAAATGCAGAAAACTCGCCCAAAGGGGACTTGCAGCGGCATTTTCCTCATGGCCTCGAGGCCGTGTAGCTTGATTCAGCTCGAGCCAAAGCTTCAGAAAGTCGGATCTGTGCTCAGCTTCCCTTTGGCGGTTTGGGGGTTTGGAGCGGTGGGTTCAACACTGCCGAAAAACCGAAGAAAGGAACAGGCAAAGCCAAGGGACAAAGGGAAAGTGCTTCTGCAAGAGTGTGGCTCAAGCTGCTCAGGTTGCGAAGGTTCCAGCCTACCAAGGGATTCCGTTTTTCGAGCCACTGTCGATCCGTCGGTCTCGACGCCGGACCCGTTCTTGGCAAAAATGAAGAGGGCACGCGCCCAAGAGAAAAGCGGGTGTCTCGTTCTTTGCGCTGCATGCCAGGGAGGAGCAACTCCCACCAGCTCCCGAGCAAGTCCAACTATTCAAGTGAGGGTTTTGTTCCGGGTTGGTTTCATGAGAGCCCAGCCTCTTAAGAGAAACCCCCCCGTTTTGAAGGCTCACCAAGGTGAAGCAGGAAAGCGCAGGGCCTGGAAGTGCTCCCGGGAGATGGTGGAGCGCCCGGAGACGCTCTTCGCCACCAGCTCCTGCGAGGGCCAATCATTTGGACCTCTGACCAAACCCAGAAGAGAAGTATAACAGCTAAGCCTTGGGCCCAACCCCTTTCAAGAGAAATGGAACAGTTTTTTCACCTTGGGCCTACCCAAAATATAAAGAAATAGAACAGTTCAGCCTTAGGGCCGTTTGCCCAATAAACGTATTCCTCTTTTGGGCTTATCCCTTCCGCTATGCTCCAGGGGTCTATCTACTGTTTGGGCCCTTATGTCGCCCATGTTTGAAGAGGGCCAAAGGAAAAAGCGCAAGCGCAAGCCTTCAATGATCGTTTTACTGGCACCAGGTTTGTTGGTGCAGTCAACCCCGCTATACATCACCGGAAAGCTTTGTTTACCCCTCTCCTAGGCTCTACCGTTTCCAAGGGGTTTTTTGGAGGTCGGAAACCCCTTTTGAGCAAGCAATAGTCAACCTGCGGGTAGCGGTGAAGGGGGGGAGGAGACCCCAGGGTTGGGATGCGAACCCTGGAGAGGCCCTTGCTTGGCAAGTGGACCCCTTGCAACGAGCATCTCTGGGCACAACCTACTCTCGGACGAGTCTCGCTTCTTGTATCTAGGTCCTCCAGTAGAGAGGTTAGAATAAGGGTACCCTTTTTGCTGTAGTTTACTTTAGTAGGGGAACCCTCCCCCGAAAAAGGGTAAAGGGCACTACTGGGGAACCTAGGTGTAGTTAATTAAGGTTATCAAGATCCAACAGCCAGTAGCCAATTCATGGCGCCGAGAGCCAAGGCTCGGAAACGACAAAGCCATTGGAACAGGGTTGAAGCTGTGTGTGTGTGTGTGTCTTTTTAGACATCGGTCGCAAAAATAGGCGTTGGTTATCCTTTTGGTGTCCCTTCAACACCACACAAAAGGGGCACCCCCAGGAAAAGACACGCCCGTTTCCCTGATACAGGACTTTCAGCTCGTTTCTCCCCAAACGGGTGGGACTTCAGTTGACCTCTCACATCGACAGCCCAACAAAAAGGCACAAGGGCACCCTCCCAACTGGGAACTCCCCACACGTCTCGTGGGTCCCACGAAAGGACCGCCCAACTCCTCGAAGAGGGGAGTCTGAAAGGCGCGCCCCACTTGCAGCGGGCCCTTGGCGCGCTGCAAGGACATGGCCCCGAACCGTAGGTGTCCTTTTGGAAGAATGGCTGGCCCTGGCAAATGGAACACAACCCATCTAAACCAGGGCCATTTTTTTTCACTAGGCTCACCTAAAAAGGACACCTATGCCGACCGCTTGTTGAAACGCGTGGAACGAACAACCTCCCGTTGGCTTCCCTAAATGAATGGGAGCAGGGGCCACTCCAGCCGCCAAACAAAAGCGCTCTGACTGTATGGGCTCATGCATACACGCACCCACGACCAGATCAAATCTCCAATAACCCAGCCACAATGGATGCTCAACCAATAGACTAGTTCATGCCAGGGCTTCATGTGGGCATCCCGCTTTCGAGGGAAACCCAAACCAAACCCATTCTGAGCGTCCACCAACTTCAAGACACCATTGAAGTCATACTTTCAGCCAAAAGGAGGTAGACGAAAGGCTTGCACGCTCCAATTTTCCCCCACTTGCACTCGGTTCTGGCAGCAAGGTTTGCCTCATCCCTCTTCCGCTTCGAGGGGAAGCTGGGATACATCACCACGCATGAGACCTGCCTACGAATCGGCGATCTAGCCCATTTCTTGGGTGGCCGGGGAACCCGAGCAGCTTACCCCTTCTCTCAGAACCCCCTTTTCAGTGGGCGACCAGATTTGGGTGTCTTGTTCTTTTGAAAACTAGAAGGAAAGAGCACCCTCCAAAAACAACAAGGCTTCGTGTCGAGGAGGCTCATGGAACAGCACCCCAACCCTCTGCCATGACGAAGAGCAGCCCGAAAACGAACCACGCCAAAAAGGCACCAACCAAAACAAACAAAATGGCCAGCAGCGGCGAAGCTTCAAAACGACCCCCCTGCAAGAAGGGAAAACAAAAACTTAACTTGGGTGATGTAGATCCCCCAGCCAAAAGGCTAACTGGTTGCTGGTTAAAAGGAAATATGAGGAGAATCCCAAAAGTTAAAGTCTAAAGATCCAACCGAATAAATCAAGAGGTGCCTTTGGCCTAGCACAACCTCGTTCGGCTCATTCGGCCAGCCCTCGCCCCGCCTTCTTCTCCAAGGCCCTCGGCACGTTGCCCGCCTCGCTGAAAGCGGGCCGCTCCGGGAGACTCCCGACCGACGGTTTTTTGAGGGGTTCCACGAGGCAGAACATGTTTGTAGCCATAGGTGGCCTTTTGGAAAAATCGATGGGTTTCCCTGGTAAATGCAAGACACCTAAACCAGTGCCATCTATTCTTAATCAAACTAACCTAACACCTATGTTTGTAGCTATGGGGGGGGAGAGGGGGGGGGCCTTCTAAGATGGTTTCACGGGTCCCGAACTACCGAGACCTGGGGAAGAAGCTTGTGGTATATAGTGGGCATAGTGGCTGCAAGCCAATCCAACTTCTGATTGGCTATGGACATGGTGTGAGCACTTGGCCAAAAAGTCCGGCCCCGCACAGAAGCAGAAGCTTGTTTGCTGGTTCAAGGGGAAAACGAAGGAAGCCCGAAGCCAAGTCTGACAAATTGGGTCGCTCGGGGCAGTGGTCACACCTCACTCGGACCTGCCACAACCCCATCCGACGCTTTTTGTCCATGTCTAAGGGTCGGATTCGGCTCGGAACCCCCTGAGGTTCCTTGCAGTGGGTAACAAAAAGCGGAAACCACCCCGGCGCCAAACCGAGCCCGCTCCAAACCGCCGGTTCCGGGGGTCGGCGTTCGTGAAAAACGTAGACTCCCGACCGGCGGTCTGTCAGTGCCTCTGGCCCTAAACCGGGGAGAACAAAAAAACCTCCGGAGGCCGCTTTTTCTGCCATGGTCTTGCTTCGTCACTCCGTCTTTTGGGCTCTGCCCGATTATTTTCCCCCGTGGGGGCTTCTGAACTTGACAAGCGGAACCACCTGGGAGCTGACCACCAGCAGCCCTGTCTTCATTCCTTGCTCCGGGAACCCCTGATTGCTACGGCCCTTCCGGCCTTCAGGTCTCGATGCTCTGGGGGGAACGAGCTGAGTCCGGCCGTCCGGCGGCACGAAAGACCCGCTGGGGCAGTCACAGGTTGGGCGTCTCAAGCGCCCTATGTTCATTTCAGCCTGGGTTTTGGGCAACAGGACAGTCTTCGAGAGGGCTTCCGAGAGGTTGAAGACATGCTCCCCCGGAAATCCGAAAAAAATGATTCCACCGTGCCACCGAGTGGGTAAAAACAAAGCAAACGATCATCTAGCTGTTCGGAGGTGCGACAAAAAATCGATCCTGGCCCTTTTCCGTTTTTTTTTTGAGGGGGTGGGCCCTTTTCGCCCCTTTAGGATCTTGTACCATGCTGTCCCCTTTTTTCCCATGGCCACTGGGGTTGGGGCCAGATGGGGGTCCGATTGGAACCACAAACCCACGAGCTCCAGGCAGAGTCGCTGGGGTTCGCATTGCACGTCCATTTGAAGAAGAAAACAAAAGCGCCGGGCAAGTATGCCCGCAGTTGCCCGAAGCAACTGGCAATAAAAGGCCCTTCTGGGGCCATGAAAAATGGTCAGATCCGGTCGATCCACTCCAAGCTTTCAAACCAATCCCAGTACATCCAGTGAAATTAAACATAGCCAAGAACCGAAAACGTCAAACGTACCAAGGCAAAAACCGAAAATATCAAACATAGCAAGGCAAAACCGCTTTCAGCCAGCGAGAGCCATTCTCCCCTCAGCCCGAGACGAAAGAGAGGCGGACGGTGGAAGCCGGGCGAGCCTCTCTGGACAGCCCGTGCACGATCCGGCGCCGCTCCGGCGCCAGCATCTGGCAGTCCACGCCTGCGACTTCGGCCCAGGGTCTCCTTCTAGCGCCGAGTGAGGTCTTTCTTTCAACCCTTAGATTCCGACCATATGGCCATGGGTCAAGAGCCAAATCGTACCCCTGGTGAACATCCCAATGCCCACTACCAAAATGGGGTTTTGACCCACAGCCATACGCTCACTTGCCCAAAGGACCCAGAATAAAAAGGTGATCACCTTTTGGGGCCATGACTAAAAACTGGATCAAAAAGGAGAAACCGAAAGGTCAAAAGGTTGGCTTTGGCCAACTGAGTATAGGATCATACTCTCTAACTTCAGTGCTGCCAAGCAAAGTCTTCTCATTGACCAAAGGATCATATTCGCCCCAATTCTCCACTCCGGCCCGAAACAAAGAGGTGGTTATGAGAGGGGCTGGATAGAAGGTACACTCCCACCAGACCGTGGCTGGTTGCATGGACCTTCCTACTATGAACCCATGGCCAAGATATAGGGCCCCGTTTAGTGATTAAACCATTTCATGAATGATTTAATAGGTGTGGCTATCCCAGGCCGGACCCTTGCTTAGGCTGGCGCCCCAAAGTCTGCAAGGACTGCTACCATCCAACAAACAAAACCGCTTCCAGTTTTGGACGATCTGTGTCTTGCCCTCATCCCGTTGAAAATGTGATTGTACGGATCACTTTAGTACATCACCTGGACTTTACTCGTAGGCCATTGACCCTTGTTCGGACACAAGGCAACGCCGAAATAGGCTCGTGTCGACCTCGAGAACCGGCAGACCCGCTCACATTCGCCACGCCTTGTGCGCGAATGCACTCCAAGGCAAATAGTTCCAACTCAGGCTGCTTCTGGCCTTGATGCTCCTGCTGCTGCTGTTGCTGCTCTTGCTGCTGCTGCAACTGCTGCTGCTGCTGCAGCAGCTGCTGTTGCTGCTGCTGCTGCCACTGGTGCTGCTGCTGGTGCTGCCACTGTTGCTGCTGCTGTTGCGGCCACTGCGGCAGAACCTCGGAAACAAAGGCGCAATAGGGCGAGAAAATGACCATTCATAGTGAGTAAGCACCTTCATCCCAGGACGTCCATTGCACCCTATTGCACCCAATGCCAGGCTCTTTTGCGGAACCCTTCTCGTAATGAGATCGGCTCATGTTGATCATGCCCCCAAGCTCTTCTTTCAGGAAGTGCGGGGAGGACCGAACAATGACCTGGGGGTGGAGGAACAATTCAAGCTGTCATTCAAACAAGGCCAACAAGGAAGCCAAGGGCCACAAGGCGATAGCTATTTTCATTTGCTGATAGCTAAATGCATTTCTTTTGGCCCCTGCCCCAAGCACGTTGCCAGTCACCACAATTTGGACCGTTTTTGCTGTAGTTCCAACTTGTTCATCAACCCTTTTCGCGAGCGGAAAATGCAGGGTCCCAGATCCCGCCCCCTTTCGGGGAAAGCAAATATTTTGACAACCCAGAAACCCATCTCAGGCATAGGTCACCTTTTGGTAAACATAGATGGCCCTGACACGTGGAACAAAACCAATCTAAACCACTGGAACCCATCTATGTCTATTAAAACTAACTTCAAAAGGGGCCGCAGCCTACACTGATTCAGGGCCGAGTCGCAAGGGGAGCCGTCGTAGCCTAGTGACTCATAGTGGCTAGCAGGGACCGGGGGTTAGAAGCTCCCCTTGAGCCAAAAAGTGATGGTTAACCCAAAGCCACATACGGGGACTGCAAAACCGAAACCTTATCCCAGACTCGCTCTGGAATTCCGTGGGAAAAACCGCACGGGCCTTTTAGTTGAATTGATTGAGGGGGGGATTTTGGGGGGCTGTTCCAGGGCCTTTTTACGTGTGGCGAGCGTTTCCAGGAGACAAGCCCTAAGAAAACGAAGGAGAAAACTGGAGGTCGATTGAGGCGGTCTCCAGCGGATCGATTGAGGCCCCCCACCCCAGGTCGCGGGCTCGCGCCAAAACAGGGATGCACCTCTGCGCACGGTGCCCGCTGCTTTGTACTGGAGGACCTAGACTGGGGTTGAATTCCCAAACCACCAATCCAAAACACCAATAAAAGGGTACCTGAAATTCTTCGACCATGAGACTACGATTAGCCTCGTCATCGATGGAGCTTCTGTGTGCGTGACTTTCATTCAGACTGCTTTGCCAGCAACTCCGTTCTGATTGCCATTCTGGGCCCAATCCAAGCAAAGGGTCACCTGAAATACGGCCCAAAGTTTCCGAACCAAACAACCATATCAGTGAGCAAACGACCCCTGGATTCCCAAGCGACTCGGGAAAAACAGGGCAGAAGACAGGCTGCCCATAAAGAGTACATCCAGAGACCAGGCCAAAATCAGCCGGCGACCTTTCAACTGGCCTGAGGGAGCCTGAAGGCGGGGAGATGTTGGCTTCATCTACCGCAAAGATAGCTGCCCAAAATGGGCCAGCTGCCCGCTTTTCAGAGAATGGGCAAGAAAATGTGGGGGGGGGAGGGGCTTTTGTGTGAATCATCCTTCAACCCCCGGCATTCAAGCAAGCACTTGGTTCTTCGCAAATGAACCGGGCAAAAAAAAGAAGCACTGGTATCCCCACGATCGGAACTGCTCGCTTCTCCCTCCCTGGAATCTGCCAAAGCAAGCCACCCCTTTCGAGACCCCACAGCTTCCAGGAAGAAAAATCACCTGCCAAGAGCAGCCTAGATAGCCCTTGCTTGCCGCTTTTTTCAGTCACTGTTGCTGGTTTTTGGGGTAAAGTGCAACCCACGATCCAGGAGCGAAGTCCGGGAACTGCCGTCGCCTCCGCGAAAATCCGAACCCGACAGCCGCAAAAAACGTCTCGACGCTTTGGGCCCGGGCCCTGGGGCATGGGCTGGCGGCGCGCCTGGCGCTCGCTGCCGGGTCCCTCGATCGCCTCATGTTCGATGGCCGCTCTCTCTAGGTCATCCAGGTTTGAGAGGTTAGAATAAGTTGGTACCAACCTTTTTTTCTGTAGTCTTAAAAAAAAAGGTAGTAAAAGGGCACTACTGGGGGACTTAGCTCTCCAACGGCTCTTCCCCTTCGTGCTTGCTGATGTGCATCTCACCGTTTGGCTCAGTTCCCTTGTTGCCCCTCTTTCGCGGGTGAGTGTTGTCCTGTAGTGCCACAAGCGTGCCCACAGGCATTTTTTCCTGAAAGACTGTATGCGAGTACACTATTACGGTCCATCTGCGCATAGATACCTGCTTGCCTCAGTATACTAGTGGCATTGTCGCAATGCCGCACTGGTGGCATGGTCCAGCGAGTCAGTGACATTAAGAAGGGGGATTTGTGGTGTTCCTAACAACCAATCTTCAAATCCCCATCTCAAAACACAACAAGATTGATTGTTCTCTCTAACTCGGGAGACTGGCCTTTTAAGTGGTTTAAACAACCAGAACTCTGCCCCCAAGAAGAACCAAAAGGAAAGGAGGTTGCTGAAACAATACCTGGGTTCTTTTTTCATGCTACCTTCCTTTGCTGAAACAAAAAGGAAATCAAAAGGAGATCAGCCAAGTTGTGGGTTCCCATATTAGTGTGCTGCGTCCCTCAAACGACAGTCGCACGCAAACTGTTCAAATGTCCAGCCGTGCCAGGCCTGGATGACCCTCTTGCAACACATGCAAGTGTACAAGCCAAGACTACTATCCTCTTCAAAGGGGGGCCTGCGGCACTTCTAGGTTGGTTGGTCGAAGGGTAGTTCTCCAAAACATGGAGTTTTGGGCCTCCCGTGTTTCATTCAGACTGGATGTCCCCTTCAAAAGTTGAAGAAAATTTACTGGTGGCGGAAACCGTGTTGATTCTCTGGCTGCAAATTTCCTTGCTGAAAAGCGATGTGGGGGATGCCCTTAAAGGAACCCACCAATTGGATGGGTTATAGGGCGCATTCCGATTCTCAAGTCTATCGAGTTCGATTGGTGGGCGAGCGGGGAACCTGCGACCATGGTTGAAAAACAAACCGCCAGATTGTTTTGGGCGGGTCCAAAGAGCTAAGTTTTATTTGGGCGGGTCTTTCCTTTCGGTGAATCTCCCCCTCAAGAGAAAATGACGGCGTTCCTTTCGGAAACCAAACCCCGCGCCTCTCCTGGCTGGAAGAGGCGGCACGCACCTGGCGAAAGCGGCGAAGGCGTCAACCGGAAAGCCCCAAAGGCCGGGGGTTACGTTTGGATGGCCAACTAGGCCACCGCTGGGAAGCCGAAAAAAGCCGAACCCGTTGTGAGCAAAAGGTGCAGTCTACCGAAATAAGTATGATTTCGATGAGTGGCTTGGGGTTCGAAACCGTGTCGGGAGCCAAATTTTCAACCGCGAGTTCAGACCCAACAAATCGAAGCAGCCAACCAAGGGCCCAAGGGTAAGGTGCACCCCCAAGCCACGTGTGGGAAGCTGGGGTAAGCAACCGTTTCCACCCTCATCTTTTTCCCACAGGGGCAGTGTTGAGTGGAAACACTCTGGCATGCGCCCAAGAAGGCTGCAGCCCTGAAAAGGACGCAAAGGCACTCACACACGTAAAAAGGGGTTCTATAAGTAATTTATGGAAACCCCGCCGTCCAAAACGAACGGTTGACTATGACTCCCTAGCTGCTATACCTATATAAGTCAAATATATGTATACATACATTAGACATGTACAGAGGTTCGATGCCTGTACTTCAAAAAAAAAATGTACATACGTACATCTATATATATATATGCACATTCTATGTGGATACATGCATATAGTCGCACATAGTAATAGATAGAGATGGAGAGCAGTGTCCCCCATTTGCTGGTTAAGTGAAAATAACGAAAACACGCCGTGCCAAAACACTGGTTTCTCTAAACAAATTCTTTGGGAGTGATAATTTGGTTGATGGTCAAGGTTTTGCCTCAGCTATTCCCATAATGCAGTTTTGGTGTACCCCAAGAACTTTCTCGATGATTAGCGTTCCCCGTCAAAATCCTTCTAGTATTCCTTTAGTAGTCTCTTGGTATCCCCGCTAGGGGTTCCTCAATGCGCCTAGTTGTTTTTCCCAAGCTAGTCTTCCCCTACCATTCGGGCAAGAATTCCCCAATTCCCCCAGCACTCCCTTAGGACTCCCCTAGCATCCTGGAGAGTTGGGGACCCCAAGGACGGTGAAGGAGCATGGAGTAGGCTGAAACGTAGCGGTAAGGAGCATAAGGGGGTGAAGTGCGAGCGCCCCTCGGGTAAACGCATGCGTTCTGCCCACAACCCCAGCGCACGAGGCGGGCTCCAACTGGTCCGGAACCAACATCAACCAGATGAAACAATTTAATCATAATCAGTCATCAGGACCAGATGGACCTAGTGATGCGGATCTTGGATCTGCAAGGCATTCAGGCTAGTCTGGCATGATATGATGCAGAATCTTGGTCTGTCACACACCCCGGGACCGGGTGACCATGTTCAGAACGCTTCTAGTTTTTGTAGGACAAATATTCCTCAGTATTCGCCTGAACATCCTTAGTTCCCGAATAGTCTCTAGAAATCCCCTTAGCATTCCTCTAGTATTCCCCTACTGCGCACAAGAAGCAGAAAGCCGACAAAACACAGCAAGAAAACCCAGGCACCAAACCCTTGGAAACCCCGCATGGACAGCAAGAAGGTTCTCTGGTGACCGAAGTCACACTACGGGAATGAGTTGGCTGCTTTGCCATCTGCAAAGCATCCCACGTATGAGACAAAAACAAAAACAAAAAACGCTGGGGACACTGCTTTCTGTATGTATGTACATAGATATATATATATATGTATATATATATATATACATATATATATATATGTGTGTGTGTATATATTATGTATATGTGTGTTTGTATGCAAATACTACATGCATATGCACATGTGTTCATATGCACGGAGAGACTTTAGATCTACATATGCTGTCGATATTGATGTGGACACTTGTTTAACAAATGATGGCCTCTCCCTTTCAGGACCGAACCGCAAGCATCTGCCTGCGCTCCATCCGGCTTCGCTGCCGCCTGCGCAATTCCGACATGCCAAGCGGCCAGAGAGCCAACTTCAACATTGTGAGAAGCCAACCCCGCAACTTCCAAGTCAAACCACCAATTCGGGGTCAAGCTAAAAATGAAGCCCTGTGAATACTGGTAGCCTTCACCTATGCCAACTGGTGCGTGACGTTCGTCTGTTTTGCATATTTGCTATGTGAGTGCGTCTTGAAATTAAGGCTGTCTTTATTTTGCTTTCTTAGATTCACAACCCGGAATCAGGGGAGTGAGGGAACCTTCACAAGCTTTAGCCTGGGAAGAAGCAGCGCGACTTTCATCGGATACCCTCGCCCCCCGTGTTCTCCCTTTGTGCAAGACGCTCGCCTTTTCAGGGCTTGTTTGGGGGAAAACGGAAGTAAGGCGGGGCTTCGGCCCTGACCTTGTAGGGCCCAAGCTCGGTAGCTGCTCACGAAAGGACGGCAGCTAAGGCCAAGGTTGACCCTTCGGCCGAGAGAGCCTAAAACCGGGTGAAGCAAGCAGGGCATGTGGCGCGTTTGCAATCTACGTGACCTGTCACATGGCTGTCTCTCTTTGGGGTACCCCTTGTTTGGTGGTTTTAAGGGAAACCAACACCGAGAGGCATGGTTGAGGGTCCCATTTTGGCATGGCTCTGGAAAAGCAAAAAGGAACCCACCCACCACGAGGGCTCAAGAGTCAAACCTTCTGGAGCATGTTTTGAAGGAGCTTGGGAGGGGGGAAATTGAAAGGAGAACCAATGTTAGGTGTTCCCTTGTTTTGAGACACACCTGGCCACCCTTCGGCTGAAAACAACCAAAGCCCTGATTAGAAACCCGCCTCCAGCTGAGCTTTGTCCAGACCCGCAGGGAGCTTCCCGTTCCCAACGTCACCCTAAAAGTGGTAGGCTCGAGACAACAACCCAATGGTCAGACCCCCCAAAAAAGCTTGAAAGTCGCCAAACCTTCTTGCTGCAAAAAAACGTGTTCAAGCCCAACAACTTCTTTGCCCGGACCCAGAAATTCAGGGCGAACCTTTCGGGGCCATGACTGCAGTCATGGCCCCCGAGAAGAGGAAACCCAAAGGTCAAACCCGCTCGAAACGTCCAGGACCTCAGGGCCATAGGTGTCCGCTGAACGAAAAATTCATGGGGGTTCCCTGGCACATGGTTGATACGAACCCCATCTAAACCGCTGGAACCCCTCTGTGTCCGGCCAAACTCACCGCGAAAAGGGGGCCTCACGCCACCCCCCACGACCCCCCGCGCCCCTTCCCGTGGCCTGAGGCCCCTCAGCCATGGCCCGCAGAACCCGGACCTGGGCGCAGAGCTCCGAGTCCGTTGGTTCAAAAGTCTCGGCTTGCCGAATCGGCAGCTTGAGATTTTTGGCTTGGGATCTGAGGTGGCGTACACTCCGCAAAGAACAGGTTCAAATCCCCGAGCCGCCAATCCGAACCACAGATTGGGGGTTACAGGACAGGAACACGACCCTCAAGAACAAAACGCACACAAGTCTCGGCTCAATCGCGCTTCTCGCACGCAAAAAAGCAAAAAAAAAAAAAAAAAACATTGCAATTCCAATCACATAAAGCACCATTGTACTTACTACAGATCAACATTGCACTTGCTAAAGTGGTTGGACCCCCGTTTCAAATGATTTAGAGCTCCATGGGTCCAAAAAAGACCGGGCAATTTGACACCCAACCCGGCACCGGATCCAACGTGCCTTTTCATGGTGCTGGGGGAGAGGAAGGATGAGCCCAAAGAAGGCCTTGGCTTAAGAGCTGATTTCCCTCCCCATTTCCCTCCCCCCTTCGGGGCAAAACAACGAAGCGTGGCATTCGCTGCAAGTACCTTCCGGCATTCGCTGCAAGTATGCCGCTTGAGGCAGTGTGCCAGAAAGCACACTGGCCCCAAGCCAGATCTTCGCTGAACTGCTCATTGCTCTCAGCGAAGGTCTCCACAGTGGTCCACAGTGGGAATCATAGGAGAGCCACAGCCCTCAAAAGCGGCCGTACCGATCGAAAGGATCATCCTCGAGGCGCACCATGCGCTGGTTGGCCTCTAGGACCCTAGCGCCACGCAATGGCCGTAGGTGACCTTTTGGATGGCCCCGGGAAATGGGATGAAACCCATCCTCTACGGGCACCCACGACGCCACGACGCATGACGCGCCAGGACCAACGCCCCACGCGCGTTCTGCAAAACATCCCAGGTGTCAGCACAATACAACTTCCTTCCTTTCTGTATTATTGGATATTCACTGTTAATGTCATGTGGTTTCTTCTTTATCTCTTCGTTAATCTATGTTCAAGGACTTTATGATTGGCGAAGTTCTTGAGATCCAATAATCAGGAAGTAAAGCGAGAAAGTAAAAAGTAAAAGAGATAGAGATCTAACAAATTGTAATACTAAAGCTATAAAGATCAGATACCAATAGCAAACAAATAGATAAGACATGAAAAGATGTCAAAAATAAATAATTAATGTAAAGATATAAAATTACTGTGATTAATTTGAGCGGCCCTAAAAGGGATCTATCAAGTGGGATCAGCACCGCGGCGAGATGCGGCATGTTTCGCCCTCGAGGCGTCGTGATGCGTCGTGATGCGTCAGGGTATTCAAACAACATCTGGCAAACAAATACTGAAACAATGTGGAAACCCTCCGGCAAGGAAAGTTCAACATCAAGCCGGTCAGCCTATGAACTCTATGGCTGGGCTGCCTCGGGCAGAAACTTGATGCATCGTGATGCGTCTTGATGCGCGCCAGAAGCGCCGTGATGCGTCTGGATGCGCGCCAGAACCCACATGATAGAACCCATTTACGGCCGCCTGATTAATGTATATTTCTTATCTTGGATTGCATCGTTTGTGAAGTTAATCATGTTTACACTGCAATCATATCCCTTCCTCTCTCATTCCATCCTTACCTTTCACTCGCGAATGAAAGAATTATAGAAAGGTAAGGAGTGAGAGATATGGAAAGGATTGCATGGAATAGACATATATCATGCCAGCCCTTTCATTCATAGAAAAATAATTGATTATTGGCTCGCATTATCATTTCCTTTCCATTTCCTTCCTTCTAAGCCTTCCCAAAGAAACAGAGTATTAGATGGGGAAGGCATGAAGGACAAGGAAAAGAGAAACTTACGACATCTCCCTCGATTTCCAGGACCACTTGTTACCTTTAGGATGCTCCCCGTCAATGATAGAGAGGAGAGAAAGGGAACGGTTAGAGCTGGTCCAAATTCTAAGACTTTATTTTTTGGCCCAGCTCTTGGTCTAACCGTTCACTCACATCCCATTCCTTCCACTCCTCTCCATTCCTACGTCTCCTCTCCATTCCTACGTCTGGAGATGAGTCTCGGATTTGTTTCTCAGGTTCTTATCACCACCTCCTTTCTCTTTCTTAGTGGTTTGTTGATCCTTGAAAGTTCAACCTACGCCTGGCAAACAAATCTCCACACCCATGCTCGATGGATACTATTTACGCACCTGACCACCCCGCTTCGCAAATTGCCAAAGGCGTTCAAATGATGAGAGCTGAGAAAGCGCATCTGCCAACAAGCCAGCTGCCAACATCCCGCTATTGCTCTGACCGACCTTTGTCAAAAGCAAGTGGGGCAGCATAGCGCCTCGGAAGATGAAAGATATCCTCTTGGAAAGGATAGGAACGTCCATGAGTCTTGTGATCAACCCCCCATTGTAAGTGTGAAACAATGGGAAACTCTGTAACTAAGCATGGGAAAAAAGCATGTCCCAAATGGTTGTTGTCCATTCGACTTCCCTTTGAACACTGAGGGGGAGGCCCATCTTTGAAAACATTTGAGGAATTGGAAACAAGGGAGAACCTGGGAATTGACTATGCTTTCTGATCTGCTTGCCTTCTGAATTGGATGTAGAGGAACCCCTAGTAAAGGCTTATGAGGTATATCTGTCTCACGTCCAGTCGCAGAAATGGATGGCCCTGGTACCTGAACAGAACTTTTTTGGAGATGTCCCCTTCAATGGCAAGGGTACACTGAACTGCCACTTCCGGGCCGATTTGAATGCCCAGGCGGCAACAGCAACCCCCGGAAGCCTTTCCGCAACGCTTGAGGCTTTCAGCTGTTGAGCGCCTCTTGTTCGAGGGTGCCCATTTTTCTCGTTTTCTTCTTCTTCTTCTTCTTCTTCTTCTTCTTCTTCTTCTTCTTCTTTTTTCTTTTTTTCTTTTTTCTGGTCATATGGGTATAGGTCGAAATGATCAAATTTAAACCACCCTATTGACCCAACGCCCTCCGCTTCCGCCGAGCCGCGATCTCGGCAAAGCTGGGGCGAGCCTCCTGCCGCTGGAAAAATCGCAGCACCCAAACCGTGCAACGCATAAGAACCTTATTTTGCCTGGGTCTTTTTTAGGGGGATCCCCCCCCCGAGGAAAAAAAAAAAAACAAAGAAGAAAAGAGGTCTGCCTTGCCTGGCGTGCCCTTTGGTTTCCCTTCAAAACCACCAAAAGGCGGGCGCCCTCCAAACATCGACTCACCCCAAGGTCCAACCCGCGGCGTTTCGCCCTTCGGCCCAGGTGAAATCCGAGGGCTTTTTTTCAGCCGGCCGAGTGGCTCTGGCCTTTCCAGCGCCCTCGAGTGGTTTTTTTGGAACACAAGAATGGGGGGGAGGAACCGGTGTAGGACCCCAACCCTTCGAAACAGGCAATCGGCTTGCAACCCAAGCAGCCATGCACTGCAGAAGCCTAGGTGAGCCCTGTAAAACTGGGTCCTTTAAAGTGACATCCTCAAAATCACTCGCCAAACGGCGATAGTTTCAAGCATACAACTCACTAAATGTCATTTTCCCCACGAACCCTCAACATGTCACCATTTTTAGGGGCTGTGGAAGGCTCGTTTCCCCCCTGCTTTTTGCCTTTGCGGGGTTACCCAGCCCAACAGGACTGCTTTAATCTTGGACAGGGGCCTTTTTGCACTTCCATGTTGGTTGGCGGGAGGCTACCCACCCGCACCGAGCTCGCCGGGCTCGGCGAAGGCCTCCCGCATCTGAGTGCAGGCCAGCGCCAGCTCGGCGAAGCTCTGCGCAGACGCGGGCGGCCACAGGGCCTGGCGGTGAAAATCTCGGTTGCGAAATCTGCTCCCCTGCAAAAAGCGGATGACTTTTAGTGGTTTAATACGCAAAACCCATCAGTTGGCAAAAAGCTGAAATCCTAACATCCAAGCAAAATGCACCAAAGAACATTTCGAGTCCCCCGGTTGACTTTTGCTTGGGATATATGGCCCCTTTAGTTGTATGGCGGATTTGCCCCGGTTGACTTTTGCTTGGGATATGTGGCCCCTTTAGTTATACGGTGGATTTGCCCCGGTTGACTTTTGCTTGGGATATGTGGCCCCTTTAGTTATGCGGTGGATTTCCCCCGGTTGACTTTTGCTTGGGATATGTGGCCCCTTTAGTTATACGGTGGATTTGCCCCGTTTGACTTTTGCTTGAGATATGTGGACCCTTTAGTTATACGGTGGATTTGCCCCGGTGGACTTTTGCTTGGGATATGTGGCCCCTTTAGTTATACGGTGGATTTGCCCCGGTTGACTTTTGCTTGGGATATGTGGACCCTTTATTTGTACGATGGATTTGCCCCGGTTGACTTTTGCTTGGGATATATGGTTACTTTAGTTATACGGTGGATTTCCCGCGGTTGACTTTTGCTTCAGATATGTGGCCGCTTTAGTTTTACGGTGGTTTTTTTCGGGTGACTTTTGCTTGGGATATGTGGCCCCTTTATTTGGACGGTGGATTTCCCCACGGAGTCGAAGAGCTGCTGGAGCTCCCCCAGGTCGGCCTCGGCCATCTCCGTCTTCACCCGGCTGTCCGACAAATTCGTGAAGCTCGTGTTGCAGACCACATTGCCCGTGTTGCCCGCGATCACGAGGCAGCCGGGGTTCCTCTGGTTCGTGGTCAAGGACAGCTGCGTCGAGAGGCTCTTCGTCTGCACCAGAGCCTCGTTGATCATGATCAGCTCGCACTGGTGCGTCCCGCCGTCCCCGGTG